CCTCTCTGGGATGGCTTACAATATTTCATAAGACCAATAACTGGTTGGGTTCTTCGTGTCTTGAAAGCAGCATTTGATTATGTGACCACACTAATGGTCTTTCTATGGCTGTATTTCCAATGCCGTTATCATCACTGGAAATGATGTGCTGTTGAAATTGAAGTTAATTTGAAGAATTCACTAATTTGTTGAAGAAAGTCACACTCTCTCATAGCCAAGGTTAAAACGCTCAGAATTCAGAAAATACCGTACAGGAATTACAGAATTACCATCTTTAGTAGACTTGCCCAATGTCCCTTCTGAGTTCTTCAAATAAGATCACATATTACTAACAATATCTGTAGATACTGTTTATTGAGCACCTACTATGTTCTAGTCAAATATCAGAGCTAAAGCTAAAAACTGGCAAAGGAAGATTTCTCCTTTCTGGCCAACCTTATAAACACAGACAGCAGCAGATGAGGACAGTCCCTTTAAAAATAAACCCCACATAAGCAGACAAATGCTGTGGCTGCAGTGGCCCCAGCCACCTCCCGGTCCTGGGGATTGGGGTGGTGTCCACTGACCCGATCAGATTCAAGTTAAAATTTCTGCATAGCTGGTCATCTCTGGCTTCCGGGCCAGGGTGCAACCTCACCGCCTGTGCTGGTTTCCTACGGCTGCTGTAATTAATTAGCACAAGCTTACTGGCTTAAAACAATGAAAGTTATTATCTTACAGTTCTGGAGGTCAGAAGTTCAAACTCAGTCTGCCTGAGCCAAAGTCAAGGTATTGGCCTGGCTTTGTTATCTGCCCCCATGATTCAGTTATCTCCCACCAAGTCCCTCACACAACACGTGGGAATTATGGGAGCTACAAGTTAAGATGAGATTTGGGTGGGGACACAGCCAAACCATATCATGCTCAACACCCTCCCATCTCTTCTCAAACCCTCAATGCCCCAGCCTCTCCACCCCAGGTCAGGACCTCTCCTTCTTTCTCCCTGAGAAAACCCAATTGATCACAGGACAGTTCCACAGATTCCCATCTGCCAGCATCTGTCACCATAGACCTCATCAGAGGTAGCTAGGAGAGGGATGGCCAAACCATGTGCTGTGCACACTGCTGGGGCACCCCAACAGTCAAAAACTGTGTCCCCCAAAAATAAGTATTTGTAGGTAGAGAGAAGAAGGAAGGAAGGAGGGAGGGAGGGAGGATGGCAGGAAGGAGAGACGGAGGGAAGCAGGATGGGAAGGAGGAAGGATGAGAGGGAGGGAGGGAGGAAGGGAGGAGGGAAGAAAGGGTGGAAGGGAGGATGGGGAAGGAGAGAGGGAGAGAAGGGAAGAGGGAGGGAGGGAGGATGGGAGAAAGGAGAGAGGGAGGGAAGCAGGGTGGGAAGGAGAGAAGTTGGAAGGATGGGAGGGAGGGAGGATAGGAGGGAGGGAGGAAGGAAAGAAGGAAGAGAGGGAGGAAGGAAGGAAGGGAGTATGGGAGGGAAGGGGGAAGGGAGGAAGGAAGGGAGGGAGGATGGGAGGAAGGAGAGAGGGAGGGAAGCAGGACGGGAAGGAGGGAGGATGAGAGGGAAGGAGGGAGGAAGAGAGGAGGGAAGGAAGGGAGGGAGGATGGGGAAGGAGAGGGAGAGAAGGAAAGAGGGAGGGAGGATGGGAGAAAGGAGAGAGGGAGGGAAGCAGATGGGAAGGAGAGAGGGAGGAAGGATGAAAAGGAGGGAGGATAGGAGGGAGGAAGGAAGGGAGGGAGGGAGGAAGGGAGTATGGGAGGAAGGAAGGAAGGGAGGATGGGAGGAAGGAGAGAGGGAGGGAAGCAGGATGGGAGGGAGGGAGGAAGGAAGGATGGGAGGAAGGAGAGAGGGAGGGAAGCAGGATAGGATGGAGGGAGGAAGGGAGGAAGTGAGGAAGTGAGGGAGGGAGGAAGGGAAGGGAGGGAAGGAAGAGAGGGAAAAAAGGCCAACAAAATGGTTATATTATATTGATGGTGTTATAAAGTAGTTCTAGACAAAAGCTATTTTCCAAAAACTCTTTAAATATATGTATAAATGTGTATACACATATACCTACGTATATTAAAGCAAAATAAAACATTTTTTGTTAATTAACTGAATATTCAAAAATTAGATAAGCAAAATCATTGTTCTTGCTGCATATTCACATGCTGCGGTTTCTTGTGCCTGACTGACACCATGTCATTGGCATTTTTCCCAAAAATTCCCAAGTATTTTTGTCAATGTGGTCTTGTTATTTTTAATTTCTCCATGTAATTGCCTGAAATCTTTTTTCCAGAAGTTTGACAATTAGCAAATTTAAATTAGTGCCTTCAGTTGACTCTTCTCTTGAACCATAATATATTGAGACAATGTTCCCTCTGCAGGTGCTGAGTGATAAACTCTCAGCAAATTCTGCCAGGCAGAGGCTGTTCTCCAGTCCAATTCTTTGCATGTGAAATTGCAAAAATATTTTAGCTCAGATATTTTCACAGGTGCTGTCTTTTTGCCTCAGTTCAGGATTCCTTTCTTCCACAAAGTTTAGTTTAGTTTATTTTAGTTTTGTTTTGTTTTGTTTTGTTTTGTTTTGAGATGGAGTCTCACTCAGTCACCCAGGCTGGGGTGCACAATGGTGTGATCTTGGCCCACCGCAACTTCCGCCTCCTGGGTTCAAGTGATTCTCCTGCCTCAGCCTCCCAAGTAGCTGGGATTACAGGTGCCTGCCACCACACTCAGCTAATTTTTGTATTTGTAGTAAAGACGAGGTTTCACCATGTTGTCCAGGCTGGTCTTGAACTCCTGACCTCAGGTAATCCACCCGCCTCGGCCTCCCAAAGTGCTGGGATTACAAGCATGAGCCACTGCGCCCAGCCCACAATTATTATTTTTTTTTTACAAGATTCAAGCTTTTGTACCTGTTTATAAGTTTTGAACATTTGTCAAATTTAGATACTGCAAATCATAGGTTTTCTCAATTTCATCTCATTTCCGAACAGAACATGAATTTATACATTAAAAAGATTCTTCCCACAAATTGAGATATTCCAGAGCTCATTATAGGATTTCAGAATTAAGCCTTGTACAGCATTAGATTTTGATAATTTTCTGATACATTTTATAATTTTTCTGCATACCAGCTTTGTTTTCAACCATTATAGTCCCATTAAAACTTTGAAAGCTGATGTTTTGGTGCTCTATCCATTGAATAACTTAAAATTTCCAACTGATTTGGAACAAAATTCAACAAAAATTTAGAGATCTATTTTCACGCACTGTTTAATAGCTGATAATGGGCAAATAAAAGAGAAAACACGTGAAAGTCTAGTTTTTCAGAAGACTTTATGAACAACTTTATCACAACAAGTTTGTAGTTCAGTAAATCTGTGCATGTCTTAACATTTGGTAAATTTTGTCAAGTACATCTATTTCAATTTATAGAATATTGACACTTATTTATATGCAATAACACATTGTGTGTGCACCACGACCTATTCCAATCACATTTCTGTTTCATTGGTGTCTTAATTTAGTAGGAATATTATTGTTACCACGACACTGGACTCCACCAAAATTTGTGTTTTATCCTCACAAAAATGCAATGACTTTATTCCCAATGTGGAAAATTGAAACAATTTAAAATAGCATTCACAAAAAAAGTCAGTTGTTTTCACTTTGCCAGAATGAATGTCCCAAAGCCCAGTTTTGCTTCCATGGGCTGGATGAAAGAGGGAACTGTGATTGGAATTAACAGGTTTTTCTGTCTGAAGAGTCTGAGGATACTGGTGTTGAGCTGGCACTGTTATACTTTCAGTGATGTTCTTCTTTTGGAACCAGAGCACAGTTAGCCATCACTTCCACTGTTGCACGTGCACAAAAAAAGCTGGAACTAAATGTGAGCTGAGTTAACTTAAAGAACAGTCATTTGATCTAAGGGAAAAGTCATGCCTCCCAGAATGATCATATAACAGCATCTTTTGCAGCTACACAGATGAGACCCAGGTCTTAGCGTGCGATATTCTTAAAATTACTGATTTGTAAAGTAGCCCCTCCGGTCTTAGGTTTTCTTGCAGTCAGTGAAATTGCTGCAGCCCCCATAGTGATGCAAATGTCAGTATACATTCTGTGCAGTCTATCTGCTCATCAACTACTTTCTTGAGCAACAGAAGTGCAGTGCTTAAATTTCGATTAAACATTTGTTTTTTAGCTCATCACTCCAAAAGGGTTTATTGCAAATTCTTTAAGTATTGCCAAATGATAAAATAAACATAGTTTTGGATTTATGCCCTGCAAAAAATGACCAAACTATTTTAACAAGAGCCTCCAGCCTCCTCCATATGTTCTAGGCAGGGACTGCTCAGCTTCTAGGTGCCACGGACAACCACCAAATCATGATTTGCCGTGTCTCCTGCTAATCTATCAGCCGGCAACTCTGCAGCTTCTGCTTTTTTATCTACTCTCTCCCTTGGTGATTTCATCCAGACTTGTGGCTTTAAATGCCATTCCTGTGATTACAACTGCCAGTTATGTCTCATCATCCCAAATCTTGTCCCTGAATACCAAACTTGTCTATCTCATTGCCTACCAGACGTCCCCACGTGATGTCCAATTTGCATCTCAACCTTAGCAGTTCCAAAGTTGAACTCGTGATCTCCTGCTCCACACACAAAAAGCTGCTTCATCTTCATTCTGCCATCTTCGTTTCCGCTGATGGCAACTTCATACTTCTGGGTGTTCAGTCCAATAGCTTTGGCATTGTCCAGTTCCTCCTTTCTCCCACCTGGATCCAGCTGAAAATCATGGTGTTAGTACCTTCAGAACACATCTAGGGTCTGATCACCTCTCACCACCTGCACTGCTACTCTTCCCAGCTATCTCCCGCCAGCATGTTTATTTAGTGTGAGTATTGTTTATCAATTCTTTCTCCTGCTAGGCTTATACGCACACTGAGAGCCGGGTAATCATTGCTATGTCCTAAATACCTAGAACAGTGCCTGGCACATATTACGTTCTCAGTAAATACTTGCTCAGTAAATACATGACTGGAAGAACCAGCGAATTATACCCCAGTGTGAATAATTCCATGGGAGTGACATGACAGAATGTCACAGCTAGAAGGGCCTCTTGAGGTCATCATGTCTCCCTTAGATAAGGAAAGTCACGCTCAGCGACATAAACTGACTTGCCCGAGGTTACACAGCCAAATGTGCTCTTCCAAGATTAATTCTCCGCTACACAATATCTTTTGTTGGTATCTGTGAGGCTTTGCATGGTTGAAGAAATCTCAAACATCACCTAGTAATAACGATCATGATGGTGACAGCTAACGTTTGCTGTGTGCTGTTGATGAGTCAGAAACCCTGCTAAGCTCTGGGTACATATTAACCTATCCAAGTTGGGGAAGAGTGTTTAGGCTCTGAAGCTTGTCTGGAACCCCAGAAATCCCACAGAGTAGGCAGCTGCTCACTGCAGATAGGATTTTGTGAGTCCCTTTGTGGGTCCCTGAGTTGGCTGTGGAAGGTTTTGCTGACGGGAGGCTACAAAGCCACGAGCACAGGATGTGACCTACCCCTCCTGGGACCATAGAGGGCAGGAAGACACAGTCTTCCCTAAGGAAAGAAACAGAGTTTTCTATCTGTCTCCTGGTGTAACTCAGCGTGGGAGCATAGGAGGCAGGTCAGGATATGAGCTTAAGCTGTGGGGTGTGTGCAGACCGAGGTTCACAGCACACACTGTACCCACCAGCTCGGGCTCCTCCGGCAAGCATGGGAGGCCAGTCAGCTGCATGGCTGTGAGCACGGCTTCTGGGGTCCATGCAGACCAAGGTTTCTAGTGTGGCCCTGTAACCACCAGCCAGGTCTTCTCTGACAAGCTGGTTAACTTCTCTGAGCCTGGCTTCACCATTCACCAACTGGGGACAGGTGCAGCGGAAGAGAGCGGACGGAAGCACAGGGTCTCCATCAGGCTCTTGATCAGGCTCTCGAATCAGATTGCCTGGGTTTAAATCCAGGGTCTGTTGACCAGCTGGGTGACCTCAGGCAACTCAGGGTCTCAGCACTCAATTTTCTAATTGGCTAACTGGAGATGACAATGGCCCCCACTTTGTCTGGCTGCCGGGAAGAATAAATCAGAAAACACTTAAATGGGAAACACTTAGAATGGTGCCTGAAACACAGAGACCATTAATCCCATCTAACAAGTGTTAGTTGTTATTTTATTTATGCTTTCCTTTTTCTTTCTGTTTTGTTTTGTTTTGTTTTGTTTTGTTTTGTTTTGTTTTTTTGAGACAGGGTCTCAGTTTTTCTGTCAGCCCAGGCTGGAGTGCTGTGGCATGATCACGGCTTACTGCAGCCTCAACCTTCCAGGCTCAGACGATCCTCCCACTTCAGCCCCTTGAGTTGCTAGGACCACAGGCATGCACCACCATGCCTGGCTAATTTTTTTGTATTTTTTGTAAAGACGGGATTTCACCATGTTGCCCAGGCTGGCCCTGAACTCCTGGGTTCATCTGATCCACCCGCCTTAGCCTCCCAAAGAGCTGAGATTATAGGTGTTAAGTCACCACACCTGGCCATACTCATGTTTTTCAAGCCCATAAGAGGAACCTCCTAGCATTGTCCCCACCCCGTCCACCGCACTGGTCCCAGCCCCCAACAGGTCAGCTCCCTTTGCTGTTCCTGGGCTTCCCACACTTCTGTCTCAAGCCATGACCTCTGCCTCCATGTCTGCAGCCCCATGAGGCTGAGGCTGCTCTGTCCTGTATATCTGCAGTACCTGGCAAGGTGCTGGCATGAAGTAGGTGCTCATTAAATGCCTGTTAAAACGCTAGTAATAATAATAATGGTACTGTTGTTACTAAGACTAATCACTACCTTCCAAAGTCTTTCCTCTATGCCAGGCAGCGAGCTAAGCACCCCATAGATTCTAACACCATCCCTCCCATGATCCCACAAGAAAGACCCAATTCTCTCCAATGTTTAAAAAGGAAAGTAAAAGTCAGTGTGTCTTAGTAGCTCACACTGAGTGCTTGTACCAGGATTTGGACTCAGGCACCATGCTTTAAACCAGAGGTCAGCAAACTTTTCCTCTGAAGGAACAGATGGTAAGTATCTTCAGCTTTGCAAGCCAGGCAGTCTCCATTGCAAGCACTTGGCTCACCCTTGTAGCCTGAACGCAGGCCGTAGATAATGCGTCCATGAATGCGTGTAGCTCCGTGTCAATAAAACTTTATTGTCCATAGGTGACAGGCTGGTTTGGCTCATAAGCCATAGCCTGCCACTTCCTGTTGTATTCTACCTAATGTGCATTTCAGGTCATGTACATGGCAACCTGGGCCCCTCTACAGCTCCAGTCCTCCAACCAGAGCCAGCTCTCCCCTGAAAATGCTACAGCCTGCGACAATGCTCCGGAAGTCTGGGACCTGCTGCACAGAGTACTGCCGACATTTATCATCTCCATCTGCTTCTTCGGCCTCCTGGGAAACCTTTTTGTCCTGTCGGTCTTCCTCCTGCCCCGGCGGCGACTGAACGTGGCAGAAATCTACCTGGCCAACCTGGCGGCCTCTGATCTGGTGTTTGTCTTGGGCTTGCCCTTCTGGGCAGAGAATATCTGGAACCAGTTTAACTGGCCTTTCGGGGCCCTCCTCTGCCGTGTCATCAACGGGGTCATCAAGGCCAATTTGTTCACCAGCATCTTCCTGGTGGTGGCCATCAGCCAGGACCGCTACCGCGTACTGGTATATCCTATGGCCAGTCGGAGGAGGCAGCGGCGGAGGCAGGCCCAGGTTACCTGCATGCTCATCTGGGTTGTGGGGGGCCTCTTGAGTATCCCCACATTCCTGCTTCGATCCCTCAAAGCCGTCCCAGATCTGAACATCACCGCCTGCATCCTGCTCCTCCCCCATGAAGCCTGGCACTTTGCAAGGATCGTGGAGTTAAACATTCTGGGTTTCCTCCTACCCCTGGCTGCGATCATCTTCTTCAACTACCACATCCTGGCCTCCCTGCGAGGGAGGAAGGAGGCCAGCGGTAGAGGGTGCGGGGGCCGCAAGGATGGCAAGACCACAGTGCTGATCCTCATGCTCGTGGCTGCCTTCCTGGTCTGCTGGGCCCCTTACCATTTCTTTGCCTTCCTGGAATTCTTATTCCAGGTGCAAGCAGTCCAAGGCTGCTTCTGGGAGGACTTCATCGACCTGGGCCTGCAACTGACCAACTTCTTTGCTTTCATCAACAGCTCCCTGAATCCAGTAATTTATGTCTTTGTGGGCCGGCTCTTCAGGACCAAGGTCTGGGAACTTTATAAACAGTGCACCCCTAAAAGCCTTGCTCCAATGTCTTCATCCCATAGGAAAGAAATTTTCCAACTTTTCTGGCGGAATTAAAACAGCATTGAACCAAGAATCTTGGCGTTCTTATCAATTCTTTGTGACATACTAAATGCTATTGTGATAGGCTAAATAGTTACTCCCATAGGTTGGGGGTTACCTAATTCCTGGACTTTACGAATGTTACTTTCTATGATAAAGGGGACTTTACAGCTGTTACCAACTAAAGTCTTGAGATGGGGAGATGACCCTGAATTATCCAGGTGGGCCCAATATAATCACAGGGGTCCTTATAGGAGGGAGGCAAGAGGCTCAGAGTCAGGAGATGTGACAGGAGATGTGACTGTGGAAGAGGCCAGAGGAATTCAGGGCGGCCGCTACGAGCCAAGGATTGCAGGCACCCTCTAGAGGCTGGAAAGGGCAAGGAAATGGATCCTCCCCTGGAGCCTCCAAAAGAAATGGGTCCTGCCAACTCGTTGACTTCAGCCCTGGAAACATGTAGCATTTCTGGCCTCCAGAAGTGTTAGAGAATACATTTGTGTTTTGTTTTGTTTCATTGAGATGGAGTCTCTGTCGCCCAGGCTGGAGTGCACTGACATAATCATGGCTTATTGCAGCCTCCATTTCCCAGACTCAAGGGAACCTCCCACTTCAGCCTCCTGTAGCTGGGACTACGGTGTGCATCACCATGCCTGGCTATGTTTTCTAGAGATGGGGTCTTCCTGTGTTGCCTAGTCAGGTCTCAAACTCAAGGGTTCGAGTGATCACTTCGGTCTCCCAGAGTGCCGGGACTGCAAGCGTGGCCACTGCACCCGGCCCCATTTGTGTTTTAAGCCAGCACGTTTCTGGTAATTTGTCATAGCGGCAGCAGGAACAAATACAAGTGTCCAGTAAGGGCCTCTCCTATCACACTTCCGTTTGTCCATTCAAAGCTTTCCAGGCGATCTGCCAGGAATGCAAGGATGATACAGCTAGGAGTTCTGTCTTCAAGGAACTTACATACATCTAAGTATTTTAATATAAAAAACAAAATGAGAAATTGCATGAGCACACCACAGATCCAGCATCTTGCCTCTTCAGAGAGAAAGCGGATGAGTTCCCCCTCAGGTTAGCAAAGAACACGCTGTGAAGGGAGTCAGCTGTGAGCCTGGTTTCCACAAAGGGTGCGATCTGGATACATGGAGATGGGAGGAAGGGCTGGCAGGGGCAGAATCAAAATGTGGAGGTGGGAAAGGGTGAGCTGCTCACGAATGAATGCTTGTGCATGCTGTTGTTGAACTCATAACGCACTGGTGCGCATCTTGCTATGAGAGACCCAGCAGTGAACGTAACAGTGTCTCTACCTTCCAGGGGCTCACAGCAACTAGGACAATAATTAAGAGATTGTCACAGAGCAGGATGTCTGCCACCATCAGGGGAGGGGTGCCATGAGAACCAGAGCAGGGCTCCAGTCTGTGTGGCCACAAGGGATGGTTAGGGGATCCTGGAGGAAGAGACACATAAACTGAATCCCAAAAAATGAGACACTGGCCAAGCAAAATGGGAGAAAGGAGAGTTCCAGACAGAAGGAACAAAGTAGGCCCAGAGGCCGGTGAGTTACAGGTAGGGGGGGAGAGGTGGCCCAGAGGCAGGTGAGTTACAGGTTAGGAGGGACAGGTGGCCCAGAGGCAGG